GTCCAAGCCAGCAGAATCTGGCAGATGGGTTTACTAAACCTTTGAGTTTCCAGAGGCACAGTGAATTCTGTGCAGGGTTGTTTTGGGGTAAGTGTTGATGCTTACAAGCCCCAGCAGTGCAGGACAAGAGGGGTGTGAGGAGAATCAGAGCTTACAGGGTTAAAACAGCTCAGAGTCTTGTGTTGTGCCCACTGAGGGTGGAGATCCCTACATCCGGGATCTCTTATTAGTCTTTCTGCTTTCGTTTTCTGACCAAGACGAAAGGAGTAGCGATATCTGCCGCTCCCAGAACGGATGATTTATTTTTGCTTCTGTACATAAATAAAGCTGCTTAGATTAGAAAGTGGCTGTGTATAGATGCTGTTTTCTGCATGCTTACACACACAAGCACAAAGCTGTGTTTCTGCTACAAGTCCAGGAAGCTGAGTCGCAGCGTAAGAGTATCGGACTCCACAGGCTCTGGATCGCAGAGCCTAACCCCACAGTTCCTAAGGGACCAAAAAGATAATTGCAGCCTGGATACACTTGCCCAATTCAAACTGATTCCAGTTAGAATTTATATAGCCCCATGGTTCTCAACTTTTTTTTTGAATATTTTTTATTAGGAATTTCAACAGCAATTTATAAAAAACACATCATCCTCATTCCCCCCATTTCCCCCTCCCCCCAGAAAGAAAACCTCCCTTCTCACATTATATTGTGACCTATATCTTGTGCCCATTTAATCATGACTGATTTCACCTCTTCATCTTTTGTTTCCCATTCTAGCAGAATACTATATGCACCTTTCAGCAACTTCCCTTTCCCTTCTACGACTTCCTTTTGAAATCTAGATGTTGTGTAGCGAAATCATTTCTTATTGTCTTCTTGTAACCAACTCTGAAAATGGTCTTTTATTTCCTCGTAATCTCTTTGTTTCCATTTTCCTTCTTGATCCTTTAACAAGTCAGCATAGGTAAGCCACTTTCCTTTCTTTCCAAGTGGTTCGAGCAGTAAAGCTTCATGTGGTGAAAGCCACCAAGGGGGTTGCTGTTCTAACAAATCTTTATATCTCTCCCATACACTCATTAGTGATTTCAAAATTATATGGTTATAGAAACGTGTTATGTACCATTCCCTTGTCCCATGCGCATAAATATGCGTCCAGCCAATATCTAATTGTCAGGGTCCTTTCCAATTCTAATGCTTTTTGCTTTTTCCAACTTCACCCAGTCCCTAATCCATATCAGGCATGCAGCTTTCATAAATATAATTTATATATCTCTGTCTTTATGTCTGTGAAAAAACCATTTCTTAAAAGGGCAGTTTGTCAAATTAGTACATTTTAACCTCTATAAGGGGACCTATTCCTTGTTAAGATCAAAGCATATGCAACCTTCATGTATCTGCTGTTTAATGGCTCCTGAAGCTTTGTCTTGTGCGAAGTTGAATTTGAAACCAATTTAAAAATGGATAGAGAAGGTTGGCACACTGCAGAGTGCCAGGTGGAACAAGGAAATGTGGTCATAAATTGATCTAATCTCAATACTGGACTCCGCAATAGTCTGATCTATTAGAAAGCTTAAAATGCATGAGAATCCTCCATTGGGGTGTAGGCAATAAAACACTATACATTGAAACATAAAAAACAATTATACACAAAATTGAATCCCCCTTTGTGGAAATAACATACTGTCAGACACAGCATTCCTACATAATAAACACACAACATACTAATGAATCTCAGTTGCATATCTTGAGGCAATTGTGGATCTTTTACATATCTTTTCAATCCTGGGCACCGAGTCTTGAGGTTTAAGAGGTAAGAGAATGTGCTTGCAATTCAACTTTCCCCCTTTGTCAGCCCCCTCCCTGTCAGTCTATATCCTTTGGAAAGAGATAGCTGTGGCCACTCTGGTGTCTTTTGTTGTTGTTGCTGCAGGTAATAAATAGTCTTGTGGTCACAAGGAATTGGGCTGAGGGCTTTCCATCGTTGGGTCTGTGTTGACATCTGTAGAAGGGATATCCTGTAAGCGGGAGGGTGGGGGCAGGACTTTTGGGACGTAAAGACACAGTTATAAAGGTAAGAGGTAAAAGCCAAAAAGGGAGAGAATCTCCTTGAGTTTTCTTGGGAAGCCTGCAAACAATAAAAATCTTGGCGAGTTAATCATTTTATTCATTTCAATATTATTATCACATTTCCATATAATTACGACTGTTATTATATGCTAAAAATACAAAGAAGAAAAATATAAAAGGAAAACAAAAGTAAAAAGATAGATTACCAGCTAAACAATTTTTTTCCAGACAAAAAATAAATGGACTTGACAGAACAACAGCGGGTTGTTGTTGTTTTTTAATAATATTATTAAATAATACAAAGATATTATCAAAACTACACAGATTGTTACTGGACTGGGAACCTTAAGGACTAGGAGGTGAAGGAGGTGATGGTGAAATGGGCACACGATTGTGGCTATCCAATGAAGATGAAAAATGAGGGAAATTATGAAAAAAGACTTAAAATTCACCACATGCTATCTGATTTTTAGATGGTACCTGACCCCATCCAAATCAGTCAAAATAAATAAATATCAGCAATAAATGTTGGAGATGCAGACAAAATGAGGGAACCTTATTCCACATGTGGTGGACATGTCCCCAAAGGGAAAATAAAATAAAATAAAATAAATGCTATTAATAATAAAAATCCTGCCAGTGATCTACCCATTGTCTCTGCCCAGAGTTCTTGAGCTTTTCTCAGGGAGCAGTGACCAGAGTTGTGGATCGACCGCTAGATCATTTAACAAATTTAAAATTATATAAACAATTGTGCTATAAAAGTACATACCATATATGAAGTATCCAGATAATGGAACTTTTAACACAGTGGTTTCCTCCAGTGAACAACAAGTCTTACAATGTATATAGACAGGCGCAGCATTGATTTTAGCTACAGGTGACAGCAATCTGCAGCTGTAAGGTTTTCTTCTTTAAGTGACCCCTTTAAAAAACAAATGTAAAACAAACTTTATCCATACACAGGTTTGTTAATTTGTTAAAATATGTTGAATTGTGACATTATAGTCATATATATTACTTAGAATATGTACAACGAATGAAGCCCATGAGAGCGAAAAAAGGTATTATTCCGGAAATCCTTGTCAACACTGTGGAACTGTAATAGGCTCCAATTTGGACTTTATGAACGTATGTGGAACAGAAACTAGCAGACATTTGGTCTTTTGAATGAACTGATTTATTGGGACTTCCGTCTATATTATTGTAATTTATGTGTTGTTTATGTGCAAGATAAACATTTGATATTGTGATGAGAATATATAGAAGAGTATTGTTTATGTGAATCCACAGACTGTTATGTTTTGTGTGTTTGTACATTCCAGGAACAGCATTCCTGACCCAGATTTTCACAGGAAGTCCCTAAGATTATTCCCCTTTCA